CCTTAACTCGGATAGAAAGGCAGTGAAAGTAGTTGATGTTGTTCCCTTAACTCGGATAGAAAGGCAGTGAAAGTAGTTGATGTTGTTCCCTTAACTCGGATAGAAAGGCAGTGAAAGGAGTTGATGTTGTTCCTTTAACCCGGATAGAAATGCAGTGAAAGGAGTTGTGTCGTTCCTTTAACTCGGATAGAGACATAGTGAAAGTAGTTGATGTTGTTCCTTTAACTCGGATAGAAATGCAGTGAAAGGAGTCATGTTTGATGTAGAAGAACGGTTTCTGGATGAAGGATACGAGTCTTTGCCGGTCTGCAGGGTTCCTCAGACGGAGTTTTTCCAGTTTCTGTACCTCCTTCTGCTCTCTGTTCAGGTCGGCGCTGAACTTCTTCAGCTCCGTCTGAAAGAAGAAGAAGATGAGGTCAGTTTTTCCTGCATCCTGCAGAAGGACAGCGATGGAATAATAAACTCACCCTTTTATGTTTGAATATGTCTCCATAGGCTTTAAGAGGAGAAACGACTCTTGTCTCTAGTCTCTCCACCTGGAACAATAACAAAATGAATTGAATGGCAGGATGGAGTTTGATTTTCCTGATAAAAAACCAAAGTCTGGTCTTAGCATCCAGAGGAGCTTGTACCTGAGCGTGCCGGTAATCCTGAACCATTGCCAGATCTTCTGCCAGGTTGTTGAGGCCGACCTGAAACTCTGGATCCTCTGAACGGGAGAAGTCAAAGAGTGCAGACACCAACACGTCCACCTTGTCCCTGAGCTTGGCTGTCTTCCTGGTGTAGGAGGCCAAGATGGAGCACAGCTCCCCCAGGTGTTTCTCTGAGTTGTTCAGAACCAGCTCCATGGCCTGCATCTGGACATCCTTTCTAGATCACATTGAAAACCATGGATGTAGAGCTAAGGCCGTTAGATGTTGGTATCATCTATGGATGCAAAGAAGCATGAAGGAATTACCTGGAAAACAAGCTGTTCATCTTTAACTGCCGTCTGTCCTCACACGTCTCCTCTGCTCTGTTGTCTCCCTTCAGCAGGGCTCACCTGGGCAACAAAGGCTGTTGCCATGGCAATGCCAGCAACACAGAGGGAAAGGAGTGAAGATGCAACTCCTCCTCTGTGCCACATGATGGCAGCAGAGCGCCGTTTTTACACTTTCTACTGAAGTTCAGCTGCACTGTTTCCAACCTGTTACAGCTTTAAACTAGACATTAATATCTACAGTAATAAGGAGCAGATGGAGGGAATAGAAATTTTGTTTTAGAGAAAATCCCATAAAATGAAATCAGAGAGAAGACGTCAGAATTAGAAATGTTTTAGGCCAAGCTGAGGATCATCCATTCATCGTGTCTGAGATTCCAGAGGAGCAACGCTCCTCAACAGAACTTTGATCTTCATCTTGTAGGGAGGGGCCTCATCATCATCATCATCATCATCATCATCATCATCATCATC